CAAAACGTGGGTTCATTTTGTTGCAATTGTATTGTAGTTGATTACAAAGGCTGGGATATGCCAACCGGCAAGCATTACGATCCGGCAATCACCGGGAAAACGCAAAAACCCAGCATGTGGGAGTCTTGGATGAAATCAGCGGCATTCAGGAAATGAACTTTTTGTTTGTGTTGTCTTCATTCGGCCAGCTGACGCCAGCATGCGAAGACGTACCAACCCAGGACTACATCGAGGTTCTCAAGGATATTCGAGTCGTGATTATGATCTTCCAATACAGTGCCTGCTTTGGAAGCCCCGCAGCAATCAAGTTCCTGCGTAGCCGTGTGTGGGATTGCAAGCCCAATTCCACTTGCAACTAGTCATGAAATTCCAAGCAGGTGTTTTGAACGTGTTCAATTCTGTTTGTCTTGGCAACTGAGGAACCGAGCTTGCTATGCAGCCAGGTTGCACGTAATGCCCAATTGGCAAAGCCCCATTGCAGACAAATTTAGGGGCCATCAACATCATGCGTACTGCGTATGACTTTGTAGGACAGTCATGTGAAAGGTCCAGCGCTTAGTGATTGAGAGGGCATTGCCAAGATGCAGTCAATGGTTTCGATCATGTTGAGACTGGATGCATGCCAATACTTGCAAGCCGGGCCTGTGTGATGTGTTGGATTCTGTTTTGCATGTTGCGGACAATGGCCAAGGAACAACCAGCTGGCGACACATTTCAGGACTTACTTCCAGATGGCGGCAGGTGATGCGTCGGCTCTGGCTGGAGCGTTCGGACTCATGAACCTGGCTTGGCTTATTGATGTTTATCGTTTTTCTGTTAGGTCTATGCTGTTGTGTCTTGACGGTTTGTGGTAGCAGGATGAGGTTACGTGCAAGTCTTGTTTCGATGGGTTCAAACATTCCAAATTGGCCAACCAAGGAACCTTTTTGCTCGATCCCTTGGCGGAATCACTAGCGACCTGATGTACAAGCACTTTGCGTTCCGCGGGCGCATTTGGGCCCAGTTCTTGGCGCTTTTCTTCGAAGCGGTGTTCCTGTTCGCGTTCGGCAATGTCGATAATTCCCAACCTTGGTATGTGGCATTGGCCGTGCTGGTGTGCTTCTCCCTGTTTGTTCAGATGGCCGAAGGGACTTCGCCGCTTGGCTGCTCATCCACACGCGTCCCATTGTTAATTGTTTCGATCGACATCAATTGGATTGCCCTAATTATTGCCAGGTACGGTATCGTGCCGTTCATGAACAGGAAACAACTCGCGGTAGTGTCTGCGCTTGTGGGAGCTGGAGGGAACCTGGGTGCAGTGATCGCGGGTTTCTGCTTCTACAAGCCCATCCAGGACGCTTGCAAGGGTTTGCTGTTAGGTGATGGCATAAAGATAGTCTAAACGTGTTCCATGGTAACTATCATCGTCAGGATGCATTGACGCCATTCAAAGTCCACGCCGGTTACGTCATGTTCTGGGCATTGCTGAGCCCGTGCTACTACTGGTCCGAGTACGGCGGGATGTTTGTGGGCCCAGCAGCAACCTCCGAAAAGAGCAAAGGCCAGATCAGCGACTCCGAGATGTCAACGGAGGCACCAAGCGAGCGCTGTTAGTCGATTTCAGCATTCAGAATGTCGTGTTAACGAGTCGAGAAGCTGCCCTATGCATGGAGTGCAAGGACGGCCCAGGGTTGTGAGAGACGCTTGCCACGCAAGAGACCTGGCAGGGCGTGCTTTTCCTTACATTCTTACATTAATCTACATTTCTTTACCTTCGGCGCGCCAAGCGCCGCAAGGCGTTTCCATGCGTCCGCGTGTGCAGCAATAGCACACGGCTGATGCTGAATTGAATGCTTTCCGTTGCCGAGCTCTCTGCACTGAGTGCGGGCGCCACAAATCTGGAGCCAACAAGGGGCTTCAGCTGTCTAGCACACGTTCACACAAGCTCATTTGGGCAAAACGTGTTTCAAGAGCAAGGTTTTCCTGCAACAGCTGACTTAGATGCAAACCGAGCGAGACTTTTCCAGCCAAACGAAATCCAAGGGCTCAACTCATGGTTGACCATTTCCTACGACCATTAAAGCCTGAAACCTACATAGACCCTCCCCCTACCCTCTATTGGGGCCTAAGTACCCACTATTAGGGACCATATAGCCCCAATTAAGGGTACAAGGAAGGTCCTGGTACACCCAGAACCCCAAACCTCTAACCGTGAACCCTCAACCCCATGGCCAAGGTTTCTCGGTGGGCTCATTGTACATCTTCACTCAGGCGACACCACTCAAACAAAGGGGGTTCTTGTTAATAGGGTTATATTGTGTAAGTATGTTGGGACTTTATTGGTGCGTGGGTGTGCCTGGCTTGGGGTCCATGCGGTGTTTGTTGCTCAATTGGTATTCTTCATATGGTTTGGTCCCTTAGTTTTGGGCCGTTTGCGGTCGTTTTCAATGTGCTGCCAGCAGAGGTGTGGGCGGAGTGCACAAAATGCCCGGTTCGGATTGATTGACTGGAAGGCTTCGACGTTTGCCGGATGGGGCTTCCGTTTTTCGATATCCCTAAACCCTAAACCCTAACAAGACCTAAACCTTAAACCCCTTGAACCCTGAGCATCAAAGGTAAAGTGGCTTGTCAGGTTGTACTGTAAGGTCCTTAGTGGTGGAAACTTGGCCTGAATACAAGGTACTTGGAAGGTCTAGGTTTAGGGTTTAGGTTTTGTTGAATGTATTCAATTTGAAGTTTCAATGGATGGTTCGAAGCTGCCATGCATTGATTTTCATCTTGAATCTAGGAGTCCTGCCTCGTACTAGCTGAATCTTCCAAGGCATGGCCCCCACAAAACAACAATATAACAATAGAAGCATGTGTCTGCACCGTGGTTTGGGGGCCAGAAGCCCAAACACATTCCCAAAACCCCAAGGCCTGAACTCAGCCACCCTGAGCCCAAATCCACCCAAAACCCAAATCCTGAATTTCACAGGAAGGCAACGTAGCCCTCCGTTCCAGCATCCGGCGCCCTAATATCAAGTGCCACAACCCCTAACATTTAAATATTCCCAATCTATTATACTAGGCCACACAATGGGAGTATTTAATATTAGGGGGGGCTGACTCATTGATTTTAAGGGGAGGGGATGACTGCTTGAAATCTTAAAAGATGGTTGGATGATTGCTTGTGCAGCTAAGGGAGTGCCAGCTGCTTGTATGTAATTCGTACTATATGGTTTGTAGGATGTATATGCGTGCATTGTTTTTGACGTCCGAATTGTAAGTGCCAATTTACCAAAGTCAAAGGTGTTACGATCTACTTTAGAGCATGTTTGCCCCATTTTTCGTTTTTCAGGAGCCCTCACCACTAGACATACATCCTTCACCCATTTTGACAGAGGCTCAAAATGCAGATCCTTTGAGAAACCCAAAACCGTATACACTGAACCTTGAACCCTAAACCCTGAACCGTACATCCCTAAACCGGAAACCCTGTATATCCACGATAGATCTTTAAAGGGAGGACCCTAAATAAATCCTTGTATTGTATTCCCCCTAAATATGGAGAGAAGAACCCCAAATAGACCCCAAGCTATAAACATTATCATGGGAGTCCCCGAATGGGTGAAACCCCAAATCCCGACCATCCCCTATGACATTCCACTTTCCATTTCACTTTCAAATAATTTCCTGCTTTAATTCATATGGTTCTCCATTATTGGATGCTGTATCATTCCTATGTAACTTTATATCCCCAACCCCTAAAAATTAGCTTTTGTCCGGCCATTCCCTTACATCCGTATATAAACCTACCCTAAACACTACACCGGAAGCCCTAAACCCTAATCCTTAGTCTCTATAAGCCTAAACCCTAAATCCGCCTGACAGTAGTACCCTTTTTTATTTTGGGGTCTCCTTGGTAAAGCTGAGCATTAGGAAAAGGGTGCCCGTATGATTGATGGGTTACCTGGAACCTTTGCTCTAAATACATGTATATGAGCCCCAAACCCCAAAATCCCATACTCCTAAACCCCTCCCTACATGTAGTCCCCGTATCCCTACTTTTTGGAAACCCTAGCGCCTAAACCCATTCCCTGACCCTAAACTTCATAAACCTTAATCCCGAACCCTATACTCGACACCCTAAGCCCCAGAAAGGCCCTTGGTCTGTTTTGGCTCTTTCTGGTCTCCTTGCTGGCCTCGATGAGCGTTCGCGTGGTGTCGCTGGGGCTTTGCATTGATGGGGATCAAAGTTTTGGGTTTGGGGTTTAGAGTTAAGGGATTAGGGTTTCCAAAAGTTAGGGAGGTGGAGGGTTAAGGATTTAGTGTCTAGAGTTTAGGCGAATGTGGAATGTAAGGCTTCGGGGTAGAATTTCAGGGATGCAGCTTCGGGTTTCAATTTGGGGTTGGAGTTTGCTAGTGTGCGGGCTGGAGATTTTGAGTGGACGTTTCGGTTTTAGCGTTTCGGGCTTTGGGCTCACTTTTCAGCATGCGCAACGTTTGGACAGAATGTAATACCGGCTTCGGATTTGTGGAGCGCCCCCGCGATTGCATAAACAGCCTCTACCCCGATCGTATATTAATCATGGAAAAGAAAATGGAAACTACAACTTAGGGTTTGGGTTTTAGGGTTTTGGGGGTCTAGGGTTTAGGGCTTCATATTGGGGTCCGAGATCCCAAAGATCATTATCAGCCAGTTGGAATATTTGCAGAAACCCTAAACCCCTAAACCTAAACCCCTGAACCTTAACCTCTTCTCCCCCCTCCCAGACCCTCCCTCTACCCTCTATTCAGGCCTATGTGCCTGCTGTCAGGGGACCCCCTAAACCCTACGCCCTTATAACTTATAACCCCAATTGAGGGTACTTAGCAGGGTCCTGGCGGTTTCCTTGAGAAGAGTGCGGTCTGTTCGGTGACCTTGGTCACTATTTCCGCGCAATCAAAAGTCAAGGCCTGGTTAGCACTCATTAGTTTTCTTTATGGGTCTTTAGAACACTATTTGTCCACGCGCCGCCTGGCGTATGACTGACTGACTGAGAACACTATATTATATCATATATGGGTTTAGGGTTTAGGGGTTTAGGGTTTAGAGTTTAGGGTTTAGGCGGGATGGGTGGGGGGTGCGTTAAGCAAGATAGCAAGGCCACTTGTTACGGGCGTATCCTTTGTTAGATTTTCCTCAACCACATCACCATCACTCATCCCCCTGAGGTCTGAGGTACTTACAACTTGGGCCTAAACCCTAAGCCCCCTGTTTATGCTTTGGGGCCAGTGACTGTTGTTTCCTGCGGGGACTTTGCCATCCATACTTCAATCTGAAACCTTGAAGTCAAAGTTGGCAAGGTTTAGTCTTTGCTCTTTTTCAAGCTTTTACGCACGTCCATCCGGGCTTTTACTCACCGCTTGCAATGTCGTGCTAGGGTATGGAGGTCGTCATGTGGGACTGCGAACATGTTCTTCAGACTCCAGAAACGAATAGTTGGCAGAGTTATCCAGTTCATTTTCCATTCTAGCTGAGTTATCCTCCTTATTCCAGCTGAGGTTAGCCTTGCCGAACTTGTGTTCAGAATGGCCGCCAATATCTGGTCTCAATGATACGACTGACCGAGCCCTACATACTAGTGACTAGCCCTAAACCTCTAAACCTTAAACCCTAGTGAGACGGTTTGACCTAAAGTTGAAACCAACAGCATGACGGACATTTTGAGTCAGTTAGGGTTTAGGGTTTAGGGTTTAAGGGTTTAGGGCTGCAGTTCGGAGCTTCTCGAATTGTTGAGCCTCAAAGCACGCAACCTTTGCACTCCTGTGGAGATGCCTATCCCCATGTACCTCTGTTGTACCTGTACATCTGAGGACGGCAGCAGTCGAGATTCCCTCCTCCAACACAGCGGCGGTGCCACTAAGCGCACAAGAAGGGTCTTTGTTCTGTTTTCAAGTTTGGTTATTGCATTTGCCTTGGCAATGGTAAGCTGCTACAAATACGGTGGCCAACGCTCCCCACTTAGAATCCATTGGCCTCTGAACTCTCAACCTTCAATAGAGTCTAAACTCCGTAAAGGGGGGTTAGGTAAGAGTTTAGGATTGAGGGTTTAGGATTTAGGGTTAATATTCGGATAATGGAAAAGAAAATGGAAACTGCTATTTTGGGTTTAGGTTTAGGGTTTAAGAAGCCTCGCATGAAGGATGTGCGGGTGAAGCAGGATTCTGCGCATACTTTTGTTACTTCAACGGTTTCCTCTATTTCTACTGCCTGCACTACCGCTTCTACGACCTCCACTGCTTCGTTGCCACTTCTGTTTTTCACTTCTACCACGTCAACTGTTACTACGTATACTGCTAGCTAGTTCATATCATCTTACTAAGGGAATAAGGGAAATGTAGTATATGAGGATGATATTCCCGTACTCCCTACAATAAGCAAGTATTTTTGCGTAATTCATTTCATTCCTGCGTGAGATAGCGTTTTTGATCAGTTTGGATTTAGGCCTCTGGGCTGCTCTATTGAGGAAATTGAATTAGGTTACTGTAATGAGGAAACCCTTGGTTTAGGGTTTAGGGTTTTGTATTTACGACACCCTTTTTAAAGGTAACTTATTTCAAGTTCCTTAATACCAGCCCAGTGAACAGGG